TGATTTTTTAAAAAAAAAATAACATTACATTCGAATTAGCTTTTATGATCAATTTTGTATGAATTATTTCAATCATTAACCCAACAATATCCTTTCTCACTAGTCATTCACTATCTAAATGCATAACTTTAAGCTCAATTGAGGTGTTACTGGGACCATTTAAAAATCTATGGAGATATTGATTCAATTAAAAAAATAAAAGAGAGAATTTATACAAAAATGTAATAACAAAGAGACATGCAGCAATAATAACCACAAAAGAAACATGAGAACAAAGGAGTGGTCGAACAACATAAAAAAAATTATATAAAACAGGAATCAATGTATTATACTATGACTCAAAAATAAATAACACACCATAAAACCAGCGAAGGGGACATCCCTGGCCAGTGTAGACCAGTACCTGCAAAAGCAACCAGACAATGTCATGATAAGATTACAATGTTTCATAGATTACCCTTATGTTACACAAACTTAAAAAGGCAGCTACCAATGCAACCATTCAAACACTAAATATGACATAAGATCACAAAATCAGAAGAAACAATGTTTACCCAGCATACAATCCTCTTAGCCCCTGTTCTCTCCAGATTGAACAGCCAGCTTGAAACATTCCAGTGTAGTAATCATACATTAGCCCACCAGGTTTCATTGGGATGTTGTCCTTCATAACAACAGAGCTCCATGAGGTTCTCGTGCCTTGAACTTGCATCCGTTGCTTCATCACCTCACATGGAACATACACGAAGGAACCAAGTGCATCACCTACAGTGCATGAAGAACAGGAAAACATAAAATATAAACTGCTACAGATTCAAATTATTATTCTTTACAATAGATAATTTAGGCTCTAATAACATTACTATAAATCAAAGACAAAAATTGTATTCCTCAATGTGCCTATACAAGCAATTATCATTGTAACAGGTAATTGGAGAGCAAGTTTTAGTGTCTGGCTAAAGAAAAGATCAAGAAGAAAATAAAAGTATTGCATAAGAGATAAAAAGCAGATGAAAACGAGCAAATGATTTTTTTCATTTTGAAACCAAAGGCAATGATTAGAAAGAAAAGTGCTGGTTATGAGCATCAAACAAAAATGATTGACCAGGAAAGTAAATTCAGTAGCTTCACTTGTATATGTCAGTAGAAAACAGGTGATGAAGTCTACATACAAAAGTGCATCAGTTGTGACTTCAAACAAAAAAGTATAACCACAGTCCATAATCCAACCAAGTTCTCAACGTGTGAATACATAACCGATTCTTTTATAACAAGGATGTTAAGGTAAGCAAAAGGTCCAGATTTTAAGAATGCCATATACCAACAGCTCCAGCAATAAAATGTGCCCAGTGGCCTCCAAGTCCAGGATGTGATTCTTCAATCCATTTCTTGGTGGATTCTATAAAACCAAAATATGTAGCTCCAGTGGCAAGGGAACCAGTAACTCCAGGAGTTATACCCCTATAAAAGCCTACAAAATTATCAGCCCAAACACACAAATAATTCACAGGATAATATTTAAAAGATAACTGGTAGTCTAGTAAAGTTTGAAATTAGATATAAAGAAATTCTGATGGTTGCAAACCCCTAATACATAACCCACTTAGTGCATACAAAATTTGGAGCTCCTAAAGTATTTGAACATATAATCACACACCTCTTACTCCATCAGCTGCCCGTACAGCCTTAACCATCTGAAGTAAGCTCTTTTGGCTCTGATAGAAGTTATGGGAATAAACACAGTGAATAGAATGAGATATTACAGACAGAAAATTCTTTTTGGAGACTTTAATGAGATAGACACTAATCTTCCTCGAATTCATA